GAGTGGGAGAGGGAGAAGCAGGCTCCCTGCAGAGCAGGGAGCCCGATGCGGGACTCGATCCCAGGACCCTGGGATCATGACCTGAGCTGAAGGCAGTCACTTAACCAACTGAGCCACCCAGGCGCCCCTGCTTTTGTTTTTGAACCTTTGTGTGTGAGTATGTCTGTAGGAGAGTCCTTGGCATGGAGTTGCTGGGTCAAATAATATGCACATTAAAATTTTTGTAAGTATTGCCAAATTGCTTTTAAAATGGTATTAGTTTATCTTCCATTGCAGCACTGTAACAGGAAATTTGAAAATGGTATAAGTTTTACTGAACTTAAAAGAGACTTTATACCTAATAATGGATAGTAATGAATATCTTGCTATATTAATTTTTAAATCATAGAGAAAACTTTAAAGTATTGATAATCATGATTTCTCTCTCTGTCCCTCCCCTGTTCTTTACAGAGCAAATTATTCATGGAAGGATTTAGAAGCCTAAAAGAAGGAGAACCAGTGGAATTCACATTTAAAAAATCTTCCAAAGGCCTTGAATCAATACGGGTAACTGGACCTGGTGGGAACCCCTGTTTAGGAAGTGAAAGAAGACCCAAAGGGAAGACACTACAAAAAAGAAAACCAAAGGGAGATAGGTAATCATTTACTTTGTTAGTTTATGAGTTTATTGTACTTGGGAAAAAATTCTGAAAATCTTTTTCATTTTTATTATATTGGACTTAATATAATTTAACCAAAGTAAAAAAAATGCCACCATTGTGTAGTTGAATAAACTTTATCAGGAATATAGGCTATCAGGATGCCTGGGTGGCTCAGTCGATTAAGTGGCTGCCTTCTGCTCAGTCATGATCCCGGGGTCCTGGGATCCAGTCCCATGGTGGGCTCCCTGCTCAATGGGGAGCCTGCTTCTCCCTCTGCCTGCCACTCCCCCTGCTTGTGCTCTCTCTCTTTCTCTCTCTGACAAATAAATAAAAAAAAATAAGTAAATAAATAAAATCTTTAAAACAAAAAAGAATATGAGCTATCTTGCAATTTGAACTCTGCACTATTTCCACCAGATTGTTCTGAGATCACAAATGAGGAGTCAGGATTCCCAACAGACAGTGCTATTCCTCTGTACATCTTAACACCTCACCTGTTTTTTTCAAATGAAAATACCTTTATTGTTTTGTCTGTTTTTAAAAGATAACTGATGTATAAAAAAATTCAAACAATATAAAAAATTATAAAGTCAGGAAAAAAATCACTTGAAATCCTAACTAAGGTGGGACTCATAATATATATGCAGTATTTTAGAAACTTGTATTTTTTTTCATTTAACAGTATATCAAGGAACATTTCATATCAATCATTAGCACCTGCATAAATTCCCACTGTGTGAATATACCGGAATTTACTTATTTTTTTTTAAAGATTTTATTTATTTATTTGATAGAGAGAGACACGGCGAGAGAGGGAACACAAGCAGGGGGAGTGGGAGAGGGAGAAGCAGGCTTCCCGCAGAGCAGGGAGCCCGATGCGGGGCTCGATCCCAGGACCCTGGGTTCATGACCGGAGCCGAAGGCAGACGCTTAACGACTGAGCCACCTAGGCGCCCCGAAAATTTATTTTTTGAATGCACCAGAATTTAAACAGTGCTGAAGTAATTTGTTAAAATTAAGCTATTTTGAATATTTTGACCTTTTCAGTAGTACCACAGTGGGAATCTGTATATGTATGTTTTTGAAAAATTGTCTGATTATATCCTTGGGATAAATATTGAAAAATCTGGATCAAAAACAAGGCATTTAAAAATTTTTGGTATCTATGTCCAAACTGTTCTCCAGAAATGATTAGGGCCAATATACAACCCCTTTAAAAAGGAGACTGTTCATAGAATGATGTCATTTTATTTTTAAGATTTTTATTATTTTTTTAAGTAATCTCTGCACCCAACCTAAGGTTCGAATTTACAATCCCAAGATCAAGAGTCACATGCTCTACCAACTGAGCCAGCCAGGCTCCCCTTAAATATACATTTTTTTTTTGCATAAGTTTATTTTTTTAAAAGGCATATAGACAATAAACAAAGTAAACAATCAGATCTTACTTCTACCCAGCATTATCTGTCCTAGAACTGTTCCATTAAGTTCCAGTCTCTAAACATCTTAAATTTCAATAATCGTTCTCTTCATCAGAGTCCATGACTTTTCTTCTGTTAAATTTAACTGTGGTTTTCTTTTCTGTTTGTTGGCTTACTTTTTCAAGGATTTCTATTAAACCTTGTTCTGGTACCTTCCCACTTACTTGTCCATATCTTGCCATCTGTATGAGGTAATTCTCTACTGCTTTAGTTTTTTCGGGCTTTTACAAGTGCTAAGTTACTGAAGTGGGCCCGGTCTGACTGATCCAGGACTTGGGCTAAGATACTGTTTCTCATTTCTGCTTCCCTGTGCTTTGCCTCCGTTGTGCTGCATGGCCAGGATCCCGGTGCTTCGCCCGCAGTCCGGCCGGCCTCTGCTTTCTCAGAGCCTCCAGCCCCTCCTCCGCCGTGCTGCGGCGGTCCGGGGTTGGTTAGCCGTGGCCACGCTCCGAGGGCTCTCCCTTAAATATACATTTTTGAATGTTTTTTCAATTTATTTTATTTTTTAAGATTTTATTTATTTATTTGAGAGACAGAGACAGAGATATGAGAGAGAGAGCACAAGCAAGGAGGAGAGGGAGAAAGAAGCAGGCTGCCGGCGAGCAGGAAACCTGATGCGGAGCTTGATCCCAGGACCCTGAGATCGTGACCTGAGCCAAAGGCAGATGCTTAACTGACTGAGCCACCCAGTCACCCCTGAATTTTTTTTTTAAGTGGGCTCCATACCCAATATGGGGCTTGAACTCAGAACCCTGAGATCAAGAGTCACATGCTCTACCAGCTGAGCTAGCCAGGCAACCCTGAATGATGTCATTTTAAAAATCTTTTCCAGGGCACTTGGGTGGCTCAGTTGATTGGGTGTCCGACTCTCGATTTTGGTTCAGGGTCATGGGATTGAGCCCCACATCAGGCTCTGTGCTCAGTGGGGAGTCTGCTGGAGATTCTCTCTTTCCCTTTCCCTCTGCCTTTTCCCCTGCTCATGCATATGCTTTTTCTCTCTCTCTCTCTCTCAAATAAATAAATAAATATAAATAAATAAATCTTTAAAAAAATCTTTTCCAATGATATAGGTTAAGAGATACAGCTCACTTTTTTTCCTTTGCATCCTTTGATTAGATTAGAGGTCAAATATATTTTTATGTCAATTTTCATTTTTTTCTTCCATGAATTATATGTTTCTTGTCCTTTGCTCATGTTTCTATCAAGGTGTTCATTTGCTGTTATTGATTTGGAAGTTCGCTGTTTAGGAAAGAACTCTGTTTTCTTCTTTCCCACTCTGAAAAATCCAGTTCTTCCCTACTGTTTTTCTCTTGTGTATCTGCTTTACTTTTACACAGCACTTGGTTTCTGACACCAAAAGTATGGAGATTTTTACCCCCACACCAAACTGTTCTCCACAACACCAGCTGGATGTCCTACAATTTCACTCAATTCTGAGGCAGTTTCATTAATGCAAAGAGATAATGGTGGTTCAGATTGGGATGGTAGCAGTAGAGGTGAGGAACAAAAATCCTGACATTGTGAAGGTAGAGACAACAGGATTTACTATTGGATCAGATGTGGGCTGTGAGAGAAAGTGAATATTCAGGATGATTCCAAGGTTTGTTTGGCCTGAGCAGCCAGAAGGCTGGAGGGATCATTTACCAAGAGGGAGAAGACTAGGGAAGGAGCAGGAAATCGGAAGTATGGTGTCAGATATGTATAAGCTGGAGATTTATAGTAGACATTCAAATGGGAAAATAGATATGGCAGATGGATACATGAATATGGAGTTCCAGGGCTATAGACAAAAACTTGACAGTAGTCAACAGAAAGATATTTACAGTCTTAAGACTGAACGAAATCACTGTCAGAGTGAGTACACATGGAAAAGAGAAAACAACCCAGCCCTGGGGCACTCCAGCACTTAGGGAGCAGGAAGAGTAGGAGGAATAGCAAAAGGCATTAGGTTAGAAGGAGGGAAATGGGAAAATCAAGAGGATTTTGTCTCAGAAGTCAAGGAAAGAAGTATTTCAAGAAGGAAAGGGTCTCTGGTGTTGGAAATGGTGCTGATGGTGAAATGATTAAGATGACCACCAGGACTTGAGCATTTAGCAACAAGGAAGTCACTGGTGAAGTTGACAAGCTCGGATTCAGTGGACTGTTGGGAGTAAAAGTCTAAGCGGGTTGTGTTCAACAGAAGGAAAGGAGAGGAAGTGGAGACAGCAAGTATAGACAATTTTTTGAGTTTCCTATAAATGAGAGCAGAAAAATGAAGCAGCAGCTGAGGAGGCAAAGAACATATAGCCTGCTAATGTGTCAGTGGGAATGGTCCAGTAGAAAGGGAAGATTGAGCATGCAGGAAAGAGGAGGACAGTTGCTGGAGTGATTTCCTTGCTTGGGAGAGAAGGTTTGGAGATTTAAAAAGAAAGAAGGTATGAAATAGGAAATTAAGGGGTGCCTGTGTGTCTCAGTAGGTTAAGTGTCTGACTCTTGGTTTCGGCTCAGGTCATGATCTCATGGGTTGTGAGATCGAGCCCCATGTCAGGCTCCATGCTCATTAGGGAGTCTGCTTAACGGTTCTCTTCCTCTGCTTCTCCCTCAACTCAGGTGTGCACACTCTCCCCCCACCCCTGTCTCAATAAATACATAAGTCTTTAAAAATTTTTTGAAATAGGAAATTAAAAGAGTTAGGGCATTGTGGAGAAAAGGTAGAATTCCAGGCTATACCAAAAACCCACTGACGATTAGTGGACATGAATTTAAAGTAGTGTCAGTCAGTATGATTGTTTTTTCTCCAGCCATTGGTGACTTCATGGCTACAACTGTGAAATAGAAAGATGGATTTAATTAGAGTTGGGGCTTTCCTAATTGAGAATAACAAAGGGAGAGAAGCGAGGGCACTGATAATATATGCAAGGGAGCAGTTGTAATGATGGATTATGCAGTATAAACTAGGTAAGGAGTGAAGACAGAAAAAGTGGCAGGCTCGTGGTGTGTGGGTTACAGATGGGGTTCTAAAATTGCTGCAGTTGGGGTGCTAGAAAGAATGAGAGGGTATAAGTTGGTGGTGATCAGAGGGTGAATAACTCCTTCAAGATCTCTTGTTTGTTGTGTGTCTTACTGCGATGAAAGCTTTTACACAATTTGGTATCTAATGATTTCCAACTACATAGTTCAGGACGTTTATAATTTTTGTCACTAGCATTAGCAATTCCAGTTTTCTGTGTGCCACCGTTTTTGTAAAGTGACAGAGACAAACTGCAATAAAATAATCAAATAAGCAGCACAGAGGCTCTTGTATAGAGACTGAAACAGAGAGAGCAGGATGTGGCAGTGTTAACTGACGTTTGGAAGAGTCTCCAAGGCACTGATTTGCTCCCTAAATAAAGACCTCAGAGATCTTTGGTAACTTTCTTGGTTTCTTCTATGATTATTAACTATGTCTACTTCTGGAGAAAGCCTTAATAATGAGAATAAAATTGTGCTTTGATCCAGATTTTCATGTTTATTAGCTTAGTTATGTAAAATATC